TGTGTTTGATCATTCTTTCATGAGGATGGAGGTGATACTGAGAGTGAAAGAAAGGAGAGAGAGAATAAACCTAGAAGCCTGGGCGTGTAGCCCGGTATGATGTGATTTTAAATGTATGAGAAGTATGGATGACGTGAGTGAATATAAACATTTAAATTAAAGGATAAGCTTTAAAGAGATAGAATATGAGAAAATCCTTCAACTTTATTTCTTTAGAGCACTTTTCTCCTTCCTCAAAACTATACATTCCAGCGATACTGACCTACTTACTCTTTCTTCAACTTGCCATTCTGTCCTAAAATGCCCTAACTTTGCCACTCTAGGATCTTGTCCTGGAATGTCCTCAGGGTAGTGCTTGACATGGGAAAAATATCAAGTCATGCAATCCTGGATTTGTAGGTCACAGCTGCTTCTTGCTAACTGTGTAAATTTGAGCCTTTGTTATTTATGACCATCAATTTCAAGATCTATAAAATGGGGATAAACTATCCACCCATACAGTGGTTATATGGTTCAAGTAAGATAATATTCATGAAGCATTTACCACAATATTATAGGATAACATGTAGGGCAAGTTTAGTAAAGGATAATTTCCACAGTACCCCTGACTCCCTACTCATTGACTCCTACTTATGATTTGCAATCCTAATGTAGTGTCATTTCTCAACAGTCCTTGTTAAGGCCCCAAGGAAAGATTAACTTCTTTCTCCAGGCTGTCATAGCACCTTAGCCACATTATACTGTCTTAATGTGATTATTTGTCTGTCTACCCCATGTAGACTTGAGACTTCATTAATTCCTTGTGTGTTTTGTACCTTTATGATGATAGTCTATGAATTTTTGTTTTATAATAAAGGCATTCATAAACATCATGAAAAATTAGTCTGTGCTATTTGAAAGAATTAAAATGTGGATTATTCAGTTTTTGGAAATGTTTTAGTCTGCATTGTACAGGCCATCTCTCTCCCTCTTCTGGCTCCCATTTGCCCACCTGTCATTTTTATTTGATTTACGAGGGTTCCCTGCTCTTTCTGACAACGCTTTTCATGTTTTCTCAAGTTAAAGCTTTTTCTTTTGTAAACTTATACCCTTATTAATCAAATACAACAAATGGATGCTATAGAGTACTCCTGAAACATGTGAATCGAGATATTATAAGTTGTCTCAAGGGGCAGTACTGTTTGCAAAAGATGGGAAAACCACTGCCATACGAGTTTACTTTTAGGAATAAATTTTTCTCCTAAGTAAGATGTTATGTTCAAAAAGAGATTAAACTCTCACATCTTTACTTAAGTCCACATATTCTTAAACTGTGAAATTTGTAGAAATAATACTTATAACTAATGTTTATTGAGAATTTAATAAGGCACAATCATCAAACTAAAAACTTTTTATATGTCATCTTATTTTTATCATTGTGGCAAATCTAAAAGAGAGAGATGATAATTTTCAGATGAGGAAGTCCAACTAACATTAGATTAATTTGAATTTTTCAACCTCATTTGTACATTCCATGTAATTTATATATGGATTCATATATTCGTAGAATTAGCCATTACCTACAATTTGTGATATTTTCATTATTATCTCTTTCCAGCGCTTGGGTTAGTATATCAAAGACCTATGTTAAGACTTTACTAGTCATCAGTAAAGTGAATTTAGTTATCTGATTGTCTTATCTCATCTTACCAGGATTTGTATGAATGGGAAACCATATAAATACATTTTATTTAAAAATTGGAAGCAGAGGAAGAATGAGTCAGGAAAAGTTCAGGAGTGAATGCTTCTTACTACAGAAAGTAATGGGGAGGGATCTGTGTAGTGAGAGGGCTACATGAACACCTAACATTTCCCAAATAGATGAAGTGATCAAAGAAAATGCATCATATTTTGGGAATCATACATACTTAATTTTACCAAAGCTGCAGGGGTCTAAGACCCACAGTAAGCCATAGTTCCATTTATCCTACTAATTTTGAGGTAATAAGCAGAAAACTAATCTGAGGTAGGCTTTCAAAATTACTTACGTTTATCATAGAATTATTTTGATATAACAAAGAATTCTCCAAAATTAAATCATTTAATTTTTGTAAATCAAATATTCTTATTGACACATGAACATCTCACCCTGACACACATATTCCTTTAAAGTAGAGGTAAAGACCCTTAAGTGGGTGCCTAACATGGTCTAAGGAGTAAAGACGTAAGTATATTTCCAATCCATCAAACGGGAATTGTTCTTTCTCTTTGCCATCTTCCCAGGCTCTGTGGATTGGATCCAGTAGGAAATCTCTCATTAGAGCAAATTCCAAAAACTTGACCTTCCAAAAGGAGAGCAGAAGGAGAGCATGTTGGGCTGTAGTGGGAACAATTGCCATGGAAGAATGAAAGATAAACCTTCTTATATTTTCATTCTGTGATTAGTTCCTCAATAAATTTTGCTGTTTATACACGTACTAAAATTTTCCAGATGCATATTATAAAACACCAATATGTTGTTTCTAGATGTGATTAGTACATATGTTGGTTTGACTCAAAAAAAACTGGCTGTAGCTTTTATAGGCATCCCTAATATACTGATGCTGTTTAATGGCATTGATTAGTGATGTGGCAAGAACTGGACTTAGAATTGTAATTCATATATTCAGCACTCTACAATTTTGCCATGAGGCACTGTGATGTAGTAAAAGACATAGTCTTTGAGATCTGATGTCCTAAATTTAAATATAGCCTCCAGAGGCTATATTTAAGATACAACATAATCATTAACCTATTTGTATCTTATTTTCCACATATTTAAACTAAGAATACTAATATTCTTCCTGCAATAGTATTTTGAGAATTAGAGATAAATGCTATAAAATGCATAAGGCACACAGTGGGCACACAATAAAAATTATTAAGATATTGAAATAGGAAAAATACAATAGAAGAAATAAAACTCAAATGTTGGATTTGAAATTATTAGCAAATCTTATAAACTCTTAAAAGACTAATTTTTTTAAAAAAGAAAGGAAGATGAGAGGGAAGTGAAGAAAGAAAGAAGGAAGGAAGAAATGAGGGAAGGAAGGAAGGAAGGGAAGAAGAAAAAGAGGAAGGGGAAAAGGGAGGACGGAGGAAGGAAACATCAATAACCAATTACCAATATTGGAAATGAATGGGAGGACATCACTACAAATCCTACACACATCAAAAGGTTAATAGGGGACTATTTGGAAGAAATTTATGTTCAAAATAATTCAATAAATTCAACAATTTAGGTAAAATAGACAGATTCCTTGAAAAACACAACTTCCCAAAGCTAATACAAAAAGAAAGAGAAAAATCTGAATAGCACTAAAGAAATTAGTCATATTTTAAAACCTTTCTACAAAGACACAAAGAAAGCCTCAGACCAAGATGGCCTCACCATAAATTCTATCAAACATTTACTCTCAGTCTTACATAAACTCTTTTAGAATGTAAATGATGAGGAAATACTTCCTAATGGATGTTATAAGGTTAACATAACCCAAGTACCAAAACCTCATGAGGATACTACAAAAAAAGAAATTACAGAACAATATCCTTCATAAACATAGATACAAATATTCTTATCAAAATATCAGTAAATCAAATCTAGCAATATATAAAGGAATAATACATCATGACCAGGTATTCAAAATTGACTTTACATGTATAACTACATTAATATAATTAGTTAACAGAATAAAGGAGAAAAATCATATGAATATCTCAATATATACAAAAAAGTCTTGACAAATTTTAACATCCATGCATTAAAATATCTCTCAGCAAACTAGAACTAAATGGGAACCACCTCAATATTATTATTGGCATCTACAAGAAACCTATTGTTAACATAGTACCTAATAGTGAAATACTGAACACTTTTTCAAGATCAAGGATGCCAACTTTCACCATATTTATTTTTTATTTAATATTGTCCCAGAGATCCTAACCAATGATGTTTGTGTAAAAAAAAAAAAAAAAAAAAAGGTAAGGTCATAAAGTTTGGGTGAAAAGAAAAGAAACAAAATGTATTCAAAGACTACAAGATTGTATACATAGCAAATCCTAAGGAATATTATTAATAATCAGGATAGCCTTAATGTCAATTTAATTCTGTACTAAAGAACAAAATAATTATCCACTTATTGTCAATGCACTTTGACAGTTACCATATTCATCAGCAAATTACAGATTATGTTTGACCGTTATCTCCACATGGAAGAGGAATATTAACTCAGGAATGAAACATATGTATGTTGAGTACTTATCATCGAAATTAGTCCCTACCCTCAAGGAGTTTTCAGTTTTATAAATTTCAAGACTTAATATGGGACTTAGATCACACTTATATTTTGAAGTAAATTCACAATTAATTAGTATGCATAATGCCACAAGTTACTGGTCAGCCCCCACTGTTATCGCTACACATAGACCGAATGCACCTATGACTTTATTAATCAGATGGGATAATAAGTAAATCAGAGAGGTGATAATTCTCAGGTTAGGCAGAGTCCTAAAGAACTTGTCACCCAACACGAGGCAAAAAATAAACTATCATTCAAACTATCACTCAGATTATTTCTAGATATTCTTTCTAGAAAATAAATTTCATATGGCCTTTTTATTACTTCCACTTTATAGAGGAGGGCAGAATCCCATCAGAGTAATTATTTAGTTTCAGGAGTCAGGAATTAAAGACCTGAGACCACTATTATAGAACCTGTGCAACCTTTAATGTTATTCTTCTTACCCCATGCTACAGGTCGGGTTTCCTGAGGAACAGGCTGACACAGAGGGAGCACGATTGAGCAGAAATTGAACTGTGATGAGGCTGCAACAGAGGCTTTGGAGATGCTTTGGGAAGCTCTAAAGCTGGTTGGCCCCTTAATGGTTGATAAAAAGGGTCCGGCCTTTACATCAACCAGTCATTGAATGTAGGCTGCACCACCTCTTGGGTGCATAACTGTAAACATAGACAAGGTTGTTACCTTTGGCAGAGGGAGATTCCTGCGGACAGACTCAGCGGAGGGCTCTCAACACTCCTTGTGAGTGCTTCCGACACCGAAGCCGGGACCCTGGGAGTGTATGGCAGCATCCTGTACACCCCACGTAAATTGCGATAAAATCCTGCAACAAAAGGAATTTGTGTGTTTTTACCGAGGGCAGAAAAGAAGTGGGGATTTGGGGACCTGTATCTCTCTCAGTGAAGCCAGAGAAAACTAGAGGAGTTCCTGAACAGATGAGCAAGCCGCAGGCCGTTTCTAGAAAGAAATAGAGGCAAGGAACTAATGTCGGTCTAAGAGGGAACTCTAAGGCCAAGCAGTTGAAAAATGGGTGTGTGCAGAGCTCCCACCCATGTGATGGGGGAGCAATGACTTGAATGGTTAGGTAGGGCAGGCACTCTTCCTGTACCCTATTCACGGCTCAGGTTGTATTTCTTAAAAGACTGAAAGGTCATGGGAAAGCCAAAGCTTCTGGTAATGAAGCTGCAGCCACTATAAGAGGTGTTGTCAGAATAACTAAAAACAAACTGGTAACAATGGTTATTTCAGTAGGCCGAACTGGAGAGATAGAAGATATATTTTCACTTCTTTTTCAATATAATTTCATGGGGCTAAGGGTAGCAGAATTATTAGAGATTCTTACTTCTTTTTTGTGTCTTTTCCTTAATTTTAAAACACAGTAATTGAATTAGGATCATCAGGGTCAGCGATATATAACACAAGAAGGGCAATACGATTCTGTCATTTCCATCCAACTGCCATTCCACCACACAAAGTACTTTTCTGATCTCAACTACTATTTGGGCCATCTGGAAGAACTGAAAAAGTTTCTTTGTCTCATATGGATAGAAACTCAGTCTGGAAAAAAAATAAAAACACAAACCCACCCTAAATTGTCACAAGACACACTTTGGCAGGGACCTTTTTGTGCTATGCAGACACTGGGTTATCTAGAGCCCTGCTGGGTGACCCAGAAGACTTGGAAATGTTTGGATAAGTCAGGGTCACTGTGACCCTGTATATACTCAGTTCTTGGGAAGATTGCTAGCTTAAGACGTCCAGGAATGTTTTGTAGAAAGGCAGGCAAGTGGCTATAAACAAAAGAAATTGCTACTATTTCAAAACTGAAACTAGACTAATAGATTGAAGAAGACCATTTGCTGTTCCAGAAATTTGCAAAAGGAGGTGAAGGCAGCATTGATTTATGACATAACTGATATAACTGATATACCTAGCATGTGATTATTATTTTGAACACACTGACAGGTTTTAATATAATGTCTCCATATTAGCTATAAAAATTTTTAAATAAAAATTAGTTATGAAAATCATCTAGAATATTATTAGTGATTGAGTACTCAAAAAAGAAAAAAATCAGAGGTCTTTATATAATATGCACAAAATTTGGTTCTGCATGGTCACAGAAGGAGGCTAGATGAAACATATTGAAAGAGAAGAGCTGAAAAGACTGGAAAATTGGAGTCAGCTTCCCGAAGCGTTGTATGTTCAGTTGATTTTTGAGGAAGCAACGAAATATGGAGAAAGAACTAGGGTGATGTATATGAGATCCAAAGAAAAGATTTAAAAACACTTTTATAACTTAAAAAGAAATGGTCACATTATGTTGGTCACATGGTGTTGAAGCCAGACCAGCATGAATTTACAGCCCAGCTTCTCACTTACAACACATATAACTTATGGATGTATTCTCTCTGAGCCTCAGTTTACTTTTCCATAAACTGGAGATTAAAAGATTGCCTCACTCATAAAATTGATTTAAGTCATAAATGAGATAAAAAGGAAAAGCAACTAGCTATTCCTTATTATGGTATGTAAATATAATAAATGGTTGTTTAGTATGTAATATAAATATAATAAATGGTAATTATTTCGATAATTGCAAGTAAAAAGTCTATGTTAACAGGATATCGTTTTTCACCTCTCTGCTAATATTTTTTATTAAGCCTGCATTTAATATATGACATATTTTCCTCCCACAGGCAAATTTTAACATTTTACTGCTTCTTTATAACATTTTTTGTTTCTACTACTCCTAACAAGATATTCTATCCTTCTCCCTATAGATAATTAAATTCTGATATGATAAAAATCAGTGAAAATTTTCAGCACCAGATATATTTTTGCCTGATATGTTTTTGCAGTTTCTAAAAGAAAAACCAATGGAAATACTTGTTCTGGTCAGGCTATAGCTCCCAAGGCTGAGATAGGGCCAGTAAGAGTCCACGTGCAATGGTCCTCAGCCATGGCTCTGCCAACCCAAACAAAAACAAGAGACGGCAGAGATGTTTGTATTGGCTGATTTGTTCTTACGTTAAAAAAAAAAGAAAGAAAGAAATATTTATTGAACACTCACTACATGCCAGGGCTTTGTGAAGATGATATGTGTGTGTGTGGGTGGGTGTGTGGGTGTAAAACACAGTCCCTATTTTCAAAATCACACATTGCCTAAAGTTTTAGACAGGAATAGGTTTTCAACATGCTACATTAACCAGTTATTTTAGACATTATTATTGCACACATGGTTTTGTTCCACTTGACATAAATGTGGAATACAATAGAACTATAGCTTTTTCATGAATAAAATTGAGTTACAGCATATATAATAAAATTTAAGATCAAATCCCTATTTTTAATGTTTATACTAGCCATCTTAAATACTTTGTAGAAACAAGTTTAAACTAATAATTCAATATTTATATTGAATAAAATGGGTTAATAAATCATTGAAAATTATGTAATCGTAGAGGAGATAGGAAAATATGGTGTAGATGATAAAGGTTTTGTTCATCCCTCTTGTGAATAAATCAAAATTGTGACAGAAACGCGGAGCAAACAGCAAGGAAAGTCACCTGGAATCTAGATAAACAAGCCCTATGACTAGGGAGAGAAATAACGAATCAACATGCAACCGTAGAAGGCAGGAGGGGGCGAAGATGTGAGGCTGCCCGGTCCCGAGCGGCTGAGTGGGACAGAGGCTGCTGCAGCAGCACTGGCAGCAGCAGCGGCAGCTGCAGACACCTCTTAAAGAGGTCGTGTCCGCGAGTGGTGATGGACCAGCACCCGGTTGGCTGCCCGGGGGCACCAGAGACTTACAAGGGGATGCTGAGTTGTCAGAGTGAAGGCTGGAGGTGAGGCTCTCTCCCAGAAAGAAGTGCTGGCAGTGGCCATTGTTCCTCCGTTGAGCCCTCCTCTAACCCAGTGTGTGGATACAGGCACCACCATAGCTGAGAATTCAGCAAACTGGGAAACAGAGGTCGCTCTGCCCAGAGGATTCCCTGAAACTCTGCCTCCCCCAACTTGGGGCCCCACCCAAGCCACATCCAGGTGTGTCCTTGGCGAGTCAGGTACTCCTTGCTGAGCAGCACCTAGACTCACATTGGTGGTAGCTGTCCTTGGTTTCTGGCGTGGCCTCTTGAGGCAACTATAAGCACAGCATCTATCAATTGCTTGCTGAATCTTAACAGGTGGTCCTGAAGGGATACGGGCTGGGGCTAAACTTGCCCTGCAGCTGAACTCCTCTCAAGACCGTGCCACTGGACACCTACTACACAAAGCCACGCTAATAAGACTGAGAGACTTGGGAGCGTTGCTTAGTACACAGAAACAGACGCAAGAAGGCAGCCAAAATGGGAAGACAATGAAGCAGAAACCATATGAGAGAACAGAACAGAGACCTAGGGATAATGGAGTCAAGTAATCTAACAGATGCAGAGTTCAAAACACTGGTTATAAAGAGGCTCAATCAACTTAGGGGAAGTGTAGATGAACTCAGTGAGAACTTTAACAAAGAGATAAAAACAATAAAATTATCTAAGAGTATATTAAATGGAATAAACAGTGAATAAAGAAGGTCCAACCACCGATATAGAGGATGGGGAAGCCAATGACACTCAATCAGAATGGCAAGAAAAACGAAGCCAAGACTATATTAATAATTTAAGGAGCCTAGGGGACACTATTAAATGTAATAATATCCATGTTATAGGGAGTCCTTGAACGAAAACAAGAAGTTGAAGAGCTATTTGAAGAAATAATGATAGAAAACTTCCCTCACCTGGTGAAGGAAATTGACATACAACCCTAAGAAGTTCAGAGAGTCCCAAGAAAGAGGAACCCAAAGAGGACCACACCACGACATGTCATAGTTAAAATGCCAAAGGTTAAATACAAGGAGAGACTCTTAAAAGCAGCAAGAGAAAAGCAATTTAGTTACTACAAAGGAGCACTCATAAGACTGGCAGCTAATTTCTCGGAAGAAACCATGCAGGACAGAAGGGCTTGGCCAAAATATTCGACGTGATGAAAACCCAGGATCTACAACCAAGAATACTTTATCCAGCAAAGTTATCATTTAGAGTTGAAGGACAGATAAAGATCTTCCCAGACAAAAATAAGCTAAAGGAATACATCATCACCAAGTCAGTATTATAAGAAATGTTGGGGAGACTTATTTAAGAAGAAAAAAACATGTATCAAACACAGGAATAAAGAATAGCAATAACTACATTCCTATCAACAAGTACCTCAAACGGAAAAGAATTAAGTATTCCAACCAAAAGATAGAGTGGCTGAATGGATAAAAAAACAAGACCCCTATATATGCTGCCTACAAGAGACTCACGTCAGATTAAAAGACACACACAGACTAAAAGGAAGGGGATGGAAAAAGACATTGCCTTGATGGACCTGGAGAGTATTGTGCTGAATGAAATGGGTCGGATAGAGAAAGATAAATATTGCATGATTTCACATATATGTGGAATCTAAAGAACAATATAAACAACGACAACAACAAAAGCAGTAATAAACTCATACAGAGAATATTTTGAGGGCTACAAGATGGGAGGTTGCAGGGAATAGCAAAAAAAAAAAGGTAAAGAGATTAAGAAGTACAAATGGATAGTTACAAAATAGACATGGAGATATAAAGTGTAGCACAGGAAAGATGGCTAATAATGTAATAAATATGTACTAGATTAAGTGGGGTGATCACTTTGCGAGTTATACAGATCTCTAATCACTATGCTGTACAATTGAAACTAATATATTAGTATATGTAACTATAATTGAAAAAAAACTCATCGAATTGTACGATGTAAATAC